GAACACAAAGATATATCGTGGTTCACCTCAAGTTAAGGTTACATCCATACTAGTGTTGATTCCGTTTCACTATGTAAATGAATGCTAAATATACATAGAGGCCATAGAGGCAATGTTTGCTCTCTTTGCTATTTTGTTTGCTCTCCCATTTCCCCTCTGTGTGTTTCCCCTCTGTATGTTTTCATCTCCTTTTAAGTGAGTGTGAGGGAGCCCTTTTATAGGATAAGGGTTTCCTCCCCTCTTACATAAATCATGGGCTAAGTAATGAAGACCAAATACTGAGGCCAAATATATAGTATAACAGGAGTCCCCAAGTCTTCAATCAAGAGAGTTTTTTGGCTGGAGACTTCAAATCTAATCCATGTACGGGCCGAAGTGACTAGATGTCATCCAGAACTAGTACTCGACATGAGACAGTGCTTAACGTCAAGCAATACTCAACTAGAGGTAGCACATGTTGCAAGGTTGCTCAGCTAGAGGCAATGCTCTCGGAGAGGCGGTTGCTCGGCTGGAGGCGGTGCTCGTTGCAAGGCGCCTCGGCTTGTGGTGTTCTTCATCGCGAGTATGCACTCAACATTAGCGTGAGCTCATTATGAGTTAATTCTCGACATGACTCAGATTCGCTTGTTGGGTTTGTATATGGGTCTATGCGTTGGTTAGAGACTTCAAATCCAATCCATGTACGGGCCGAAGTGACTAGATGTCTTTCAGAACTAGTACTCAACATGAGACAGTGCTTAACGTCAAGCAATACTCAGCTAGAGGTAGCATACATTGCGAGGCTGCTCGGCTAAAGGCAGTGCTTTCGGCGAGGAGGTTGCTCGGCTGGAAGCGGTACTCGTTGCGAGGCGGCTCGGCTTGTGGCTTTCTTCATTGTGAGTATGCACTCGACGTCAGCGTGCGCTCATTATGAGTTAACTCTTGACATGACTCGGGTCTGCTTGTTGGGTCTTTGAATCGGGGCCATCCGTAAGGTCCTTGAGTTGGGTCCGTGAGTCGGGGTTCTAGCTCAATGGTGTCCAAGCACATAGATGTCCAAATAAGCGAGTGTCTGAGCAAGTGGGTGTCCAGTCAGATAAGAGATCACTGTTCAGACTAAATCTTTGTCACTATAAGCATGTGGCTCATTGATCTATAAGCTGATAAATAACAAAGTTGATCAACGAAGTCATGTCAATAAATAATAGTATAAGCATGAATGCATAATTAATAAATTAATCACAAAGTTTGGCAAAAGTATAATGTCATACTATGCAAATTGTGTGGTAAATGACTTGTTTCATATGTGACACAGTTAAAGGCATCACAGTATCACTAGGCAATGAATAAATATTGCATAAGTAATTGCCTAAATATGTAGGTCACTAGTGAAATATGATAGAAAGCGTTATGAGCATACGTGACTATTGTATCATGTAATCTTAATATAATGACAATAGGGAGACACACAATGTATTATATAAATATATTTTCATTCAAATAATGAGGATACCTAATTTGGTCAGACCATGCCACGAGTTATGGGAAATAGTCATGTGATAAACCATTAATAATAATGTAAAACATATTATTCTAACATGTCATTCCGTTCATTTAGGCAATAATGCTGGTGTTTCCACTGTTTTTGTCAAAAAACAACTCCTGCTTTTCCATATGGTACTTTTCAAAAAGCAGTTTCCCTTTTCAAAATGATAATACTGATAAGGGTCTCGGGTTGCAAACATAATAGTAATAAAATAATGATAGTATTTGATGTGACTGGCATAATAAACACACAACAGTAGTGAAAAGCAAAAGTTGGTACTTTTCCAATGGGGACGCACTATATATGTATAGATATGTGTATATATATATATTGCTAACTGTAAAGGAAATGTTGTAAAGCAAACGCTAATCAAATGCATGATGTGGTTTCCTGTTAAAGAATATACACACAGATGTAAAGCAAACGTTGCAGTAACAAGACCAACACAAAATAATAATAAATTATTAAATAATAAACTAGTTAATGAATTAGAATAAGATTCATCTTCTTTGTTTGTTTTCCACTGGTGGTCGTGGTGAGTTTACAGCACCTTCATCTGGGTTTCGTAGGCCGATCCACGGTGGTGCGGCACTTTCATAAAATACGGCCAATTCACTGCTGCACTCCAGACCACCAGTCAACCAAATAACAACATGATCCTTCTTGTTGGAGCGAGATTCGAAGAAGAGGTAAAACATCTTAGTGGCATGAGAATGCTCGATCTTATATTAATCGGCATGGTGGCCGAGGTATTCGATAGAGACACCGGAGTCTATGAGGTTGGGGAACCTATCAGCCTCGACGCATCTACGATTGGCGTGGAGCAAGGCAGCGAGGCCTAAGTATGACTCAGGGTTCCACCAGTATCTAAGGCAGGATATGCTACAACAGGCGCATAGAATGCACTCGTACATCCCATCTAGCTTCGCCCTATCCTTCTTGCTCTGCTTTATCTCCTTCCCATCCAACTCCGTTGTCGGGCTCTTCCATTTCAGCCACGGCTCAATGCTCTTGTACTGGTTGTAGAAGTTCATCATATCCACCAGCAGGTCTTTGATCATAAACATGTACGGCAACGGCATGATCATTGAGGTGCCCGCCTCCGACGATGCTATCTTCGTCAGGCAGGCCAAGCCGTTGCAACCGTCGATGTTCATGGCGCAGGAGCTGCAGATCCTTTCCCGGCAAGATCGCCGAAAGGTGAAGGTGGGGTTCATCTCGTTCTTAATCTTGATGAGGGATTCGAGCACCATAGGCCCATACTCCTTGAGGTCGATCTTGTACTCCTTGAGCTTCAGCTTTTTCATGTTGTCCGGGTTCCACCGGTAGATTGAGAAGGTTTTGATGTCTGTTTTGCCTCAGGCTTTGAGGTCCACCTGTTGGGCCTGGGCCTCCGACACCATAGCCCGGACTCAGACGTAACGAAACGACGTGGCCGCTATCGATCCCGACGACGCCGCAGAAGCTATGGCCTTCCGTATCAACCCCGTCGCCATTGTTGCATCTCCGAGCTTGAACAACTATAGGCAAAGAAAGAAAGAGAGGCGGAAGACATGGGTTTTGCAGTGACTGTACAGGTGTTTGGTTCTTGGGTTTTTGCAAATTCACAGTGGAGGTTATGAGGTTTGATGAAAAAATGAAAGAGAATTGACATAGCTTTTCGTGACGATTCCCACAGATGGCGCCAAATGTTGATGAACAAAATCGGTGAGGACTTTGGTACAACAGAAAGTGTCAAGTTTGTGACCTTCGTTAGATTGCTCCAAGCACTAGTGTGGATGAGTATGTAAATGGATAGAGACAGGGAAGCAAACACAAGATATACGTGGTTCACCTAGATTGGCTACGTCCACGGAGTAAAGGAGTTCTCATTAATTATGAAGGGTTTACACAAGTACATAGGTTCAAGCTCTCCTTTAGTGAGTACTAGTGAATGATTTAGTACAAATGACATTAGGAAATATTGTGGGAGAATGATCTCCTTTTATAGAAGAGAGTTTCTAGCTTTGTTTTGACATTGACACATGTCGTGTTGGGATTGGCTTCTGATGTTGACACGTGTCACGCTATGATTGGCTTCTGATGTCAACATGTGTCGCTCTTTGATTGGCTTTATGGTTGGAGGGAAACTCTTTTGTGTCCTTGACGGTATAACGTTAACCGGTGCTCAGTAGTTTCGGGATTGGTCAAGTATTGTACAAACAGAAGTATAGAATAAATTCCAAGTGCTTTGTAACCATTCTTTTGATGGGATGCATTCTACGATACTAGTTTCCACAATCCAACCGTCAAACATGTTTGCATATACTTCGAGATCTCCTACCATAAGAATCGCCCAAAAAAAAGTTTGAAGATTAGGTAATGGGACAAAATCATTCGACGGTTAGAAATGAAAAATCATGATTTAATGGTTGTTTTAACTCCGATTTTGTTGTTTTTTAACAAATACAATCCTCAACCTAGATAATACGATAATGAACCCAATCATTAATTTAAAATATTTAAACTAGTGGATATAACAAAAGCTTACATTCTACTTAAGAGAAGTATAGAATAAACTCGAAGTGTTTTGCAATCCATTCTTTTGACGGGACATGTATTCTACGAAACTAGTTTCCACTATCCAATAGTCAAACACGTTTGCATATACTTTGGGACCTCCTATGCCAAAAATACCCAAAAAAGCGTTCGAAGATAGGTAACGGGACTAAATCATTTGATGATTAGAAACAAAAAATTCACGATTTAACAGTCGTTTTAACTCTTAACTTGGCTAATTTTTACAAGGCCCCAAATTGAGGGTAAAAACACACAAAATTGACATGGCCATCAAATTCGATGATTTTTTGACCCGTTTGAACGTAATGTTCAAAAGACGAAATACTTGTCTTTGTTGGGTCAACTTTCTAAATTCTATCAGCTAGCAGTAAACGTTCGTCGGGCAAAGCGAAAGAAAACCCACACAAAAATTTTCCAAAAATTCAAATTCGCCCTACAACAAAGGTAAATCGACAAAACCAAAATTTTATCAGCCAAACTCTATGTCGCACCAACTTTTTGACTAAACTAAAGATTTTAGGTGACCTTGCTTGACAAACTCTTAGGTCATCTCCAACCGAAGGAGGGTCAGAGGGCTCGTTTAGCTCTATAACCCTCAAAGAAATTAATATTTTAATGAACAGTGCCAAACCATATTTCTTACCGTGTCCAACTGAGGGGCCAAAGGGCCATAGGCCAAACATAGCCCCGTGACAAAAAAAATCTCCAACCAAGAGGGCCAAGGGACAGTAAGACCAAATATAATTTATTATTTTAATTTATGAAGATCCTCCCTGTTAACGGTGGGTCCGAAGTACTAAAATGAGAGTCTATTTGTATCAAAGTTTACTGTCTGTATTGCCAAACGCGTCCCTCCAATAATCCCGTTTCTTCCCTGTCAACCCTCAAATTTACAAATTCCAGATAAACACAAAAATAAAACAAAAACAAACTAATCACACACAGAGAGACAAACAAAAAATTACAATATTTTTATATACCAATAATCTAAACAAAAATGCTTACATACAAAATACACAAAAAATTACAATATTTTTATATACCAATAATCTACAACCTCAATTTTACTTTCCTTTTTCTTCTTCTTTTTTCTACTAAAAATCTGAAAATTAGAGATTAAGAAAATTAATGAGAAATAGAAAAAAAAAAAAACAAAAAACAAAAAAACAAAAAAAAGTGAAATTTCAAAAGGGCACTCGGGCCACGAATAATGCGGTTCTTCTTGTTGTCCCTTGCAGCGTTTCCAGCGAGCTCCAACACCTAAACAAAATTTCACAAGAAAAAAATCAGATCAAACCCATAAAAGTTGGAGATATACAATGCCAATAAACATGAAAATCTTAACCAATCAAACTCCAGGGAATCAAAACCCACCAATAACGAACAAATGTTGAATTTCAAAAACTAATAACACATTACTAAACCGATTTGTATCCAAAAATCGGATTAAACCCAGAAAATTATACTCATAATTAGATCGACCCAAATTCTAAAAACATGAAATTGCAGAATTAAAATCAAACCCAAAACTAAAAACAATAGAACCCACATAGATGAAAAAACAAACTAACCTCAACGGCGAGGTATTCTAGCACAGCAACAGCGGCTCTCCCGCCGCGTACTCCGTCGCCCGATCCAAGATCTTCAGAATTGTCTTCACCAGCAGCGGCACAATCAGCCCGTGCGCCGGCCGATACGGCCCTGTTTCGCGTCTCTTTCACAAGACACAGGTTTTGCTATACTCGTTGGGGAGATGCACATTGTACGGAACGTGTTTGGGAGATGGAGGAAGTCAACCTGCGGCTAGCTGGCTGGCTTCTTTGGACCAGCCGGTTTGCCTGATTCCTCTTTTTTTGTCTCGTGGGGCTATGAGTTTTTTGGCTTATTTCTTAATTAGAGATGATTTTCGTGTTATTTCAGATTATTTTCGACTTTATGATCCTTTGGTCGGATTCGAGATAGCCTTAGTTTTTGTCCCACAAAAATTTAGGATTTTCAGTACGAATCAAAATTTAAAATTTTTTACCCTCAGACCATTCTTCTTGCTTGTAACATCCCACATCATCCGGGGGAGTGATCCTTAAATGTATATTCTCATCTTTACCTAGCACGAGGCTTTTTGGGAACTCACGAGCAACTTCCCAGTGGGTCACCCATCCTGGGAGTGCTCTGGCCTCACATCCCGGCTCGGGACGGATCACTTCCTGGGCCCGTTCCACCATCGTAGCACAATATTGTCCGTTTTGGGCTTACCATTTCCTCACGGTTTTGTTTTTAAGAACTCACGAGCAACTTCCCGGTGGGTCACCCATCCTGGGAGTGCTCTGACCTCCTTCTCACTTAACTTCAGAGTTCCTACGGAACCCAAAGCCAGTGAGCTCCTAAAAAGCCTCGTGCTAGGTAAAGATGAGAATATACATTTAAGGATCACTCCCCTGGGCGATGTGGGATGTTACATTTCTTCCTCCTCGTGCCGTGCAACACTCAAAGCCTCTCTGCTATCACTCCCTCTCTGTCCTCTCTCTTTCTGAACTCCTCTGTCTGTCTCTCTCCCTCTCTCAAATCCTCCCCTCTCTCTGTCTCCCATTTCTCAACTATAAGTCTGTTTCTCTCTCCCTATTTTTATTTTATTTAGAGAGATTATATTCAAACACTCCAAATTATTTTTCCCACACCTTTTTGAATTTTTTAATATTTTTCTACCAAGTGTTAGTAGGGTTTAAAATATCAAAAAATATAAAAATAAAAAATAAGAAGGTTAGGGAAGTAATTTGGGGTGTGAATATAATCTCTCTTCTATATTATTTTTAATTTGAAATTGTTAGGATTTGATTATTCTATGATTAGTGATGCGAAAATTATCTTAACACACAAATTTAAACCTCTTTTGACAATTGTAGTATAAGTATAAGTATGGATCGTTCTGGACCGGGGATTAGGAGGGTTTGCTAATAACCTCTAAACTGACTCAAAAACGTAAAACTAAACTTAAAAATATTTAACAAGACTCACAAGACTTAAAGCAAACTTTAAAATACTCAAAACAGCTTAAAACAACTAAATAAACTTAAACTAGACACTAGAAATGACTTTGGACGAAAATTGACTTTTACTTGAATCAAAACATTTAAAAACACAAATTAAAACAGATTCTAACTAATTAGACACACTAAAGTAAAGGGGGATTGAGTTTTGGACGAAGTTGAAACAAACAAACAAATACGAAAAACTAGACAGATTGTAAAACAAATTTGAGAAATAAGATGATGGATGAGATAGCTAGAGGCTTTTTCTCCACACATGACATATATGCAAATAACTTAATTTCCAGTCACTACTTCATGGAATTATGAACAACAATGCTCCAAATTAACCGTGACATCACTAGTTAACTCTCAGATTTTCCTTGTTTTATTGGATTGGATGACATCATTCGACAACCCAAAACATTCTTCTAAAGTTCCCTACATGACATCATAATAGAGATACAATCAAAGATCATTACGTTTAATGAAAATCATAAGCATTGACAAAGCACTTGCAACTATGACATCATGTCACTCATGCTAGGAATTGAAATTAACGCGATCGTTTATAAGCGACCTTCACTACATGTGAATATAAGTTTGTAACGATTATGTGAAACTTCCTTATATTCTAGCAACGGATTTATGCATGCCAATTAAGTGTCGACCCTTAATTAACAAATACAAATAAGTTATCAATTAAATAGTTAAGCCAAATTGCAATTCACGAACTTCAAGAGTTCATAACTAGAATTTATCAAATTATATTGCACACATAATCATGGCTTTGAATTCCCCCTAGCTAAGGGGGGTTTAGTTCCTCATACTTACAAAGCAAAGATAAACAAATTTAGACATTGAAAACAAAAGAAAGAAAACACCTAAAAACGCTCCAACAATCCAATTTGAATGGCAAGCACGTCCAAGGGTCCTCCTTCTTCTCTTTGTTGCGGCACAAGGTGTGGTTTGATGGATGAGTGGTAAAATATGGTGGTGGATGGATATGCACAGCTAAGAGATGAAAGTGTATGGATTGGTGAGATGTAGTATGGCTAGATGAATGGATGGAGGTCACAGCAAGGAAATTGTGTTTGTGAATGAAGTTGTGAGATGTGAAATGTAGTGTCTTTGGATGATGGCCCCTTGAATGTGTCTTTGGATGGATATATTTATAGGCTAGGGAGAGGATGTAGTGGGTGGTGGTAATGAGTGGATGTAGTGGTAGGTGAATGTGTTGGGTGGTTGAAATGAGTGGATGTGTTAGGTGAAATGAGTGGATGTAGTGGTAGGTGAATGGATGTGTGGTTGTAATGAGTGGATGTGTTGGGTGAAATGAGTGGATGTAGTGGTAGGTGAATGTGTTGGGTGGTTGTAATGAGTGGATGTGTTGGGTGAAATGAGTGGATGTGTTAGGTGAAATGAGTGGATGTAGTGGTAGGTGAATGGATGATTTGGGTGAAATGAGTGGATGTAGTGGTTGGTGAATGTGTTGGGTGGTTATAATGAGTGGATGTGTTGGGTGAAATGAGTGTCCTAAAATGGTTATTTATAGGGAGAGGATGATGCACAAACTTCAAATTTCATCCATTCCTTTTGCTCCAAGCATATGTTATCCATTTCATGCCAAAAAATGCTCCAAAATGCACTTCTTTGCCACATTAATCCTTTGGACCTGCAAACACACGAAAATAGCTTAAAATACTAAAATAACTACGAACTAACAACATAAATGCCAAGAAACAAGCTAACTAAGTCGCATAAATATGCTCCTATCAAATTCCCCCACACTTAGCTTTTGCTAGTCCTCGAGCAAAACAAAACAAACAAAACAAAACAAAACAAAACACAACCTAGACCTTCCAACAATTGCCTCAGGGATTTTTAATGAAACATGACATGTTAAAAATCATCATTCCCACAGATTTTGGTCATCCTTACACTTGAGCACATACTTAATCACAGTCACCACTTACTAGTTCACAATTAACCAATTAAAACAATGTTTTGAATGTAGTAACATGCCTTAGAGAATTTGCTCAATTCCTTACAAGATACTCTCTATTTTCACACACATTTTCTGACTACACACCCTACACTAGTATATGTGATGTGAGAAGATTGATAAACACGAAAATTAGGACTCACATATGTTATAACAAAGAAAGCAATTTTCTGGAGTTATTAAGCATGTTTAGATATGATCTCATGAATGGAATGCTACTACTTAGATGCGAGAACCAGTGACACCATATGCTCATACCAATTTCGAACTCCACAAATTGAAACACACAACACTCAAGATTGAAGTCAAGGGTTGTAATAGGGCTTGGGGGTAATGGCTAATAAAGAAAGGATAGGAATAACAAACGTTCTTAAAGCGATAGCAAGCAAAGCAATGAAATAGACACTTGGAATTCACTTTAGAATGCAGAATCAACTTTTAAATACAAAGGGAAGATTCATGCAACACTTAGGGCCGAATTCAATGTTTTGGACCATTTTTTAACAAACTTTTTTTTTTCCTTTCTTTTCTACCCGTGCCTTATTAAGGACTTTGGCACACACACACACACACAAGAATCACTTCCCCCACACTTGCTTTCTGCAATGCATTGATTAAAAAATAAAAAAAAAAAAAGAGTTCATTTTAAGTCATGCTTTACTATGCTTCAAGAACAAGGGTATGGATGGTCCTAAAACTAGGCTAGGTAAGGATATAATGGATTAACAAAGAACATAGGCTTAACAAGGCTCAACGGGGTTAAACTTAAATACATAATGAAATAGGGGCACGACAATTTGGCTTTGGTGGTCACTACACAACTTCATCTTGAATATGTGTTATGCAAATCAATAGCATGCTTTGAATGAAATAGGCATGAGTTCTAGCATTTGGAACTAACTGATGAAACGCCTTCTAAGTAGCAACCAAGCAAAGAGTAATGAGATCATGCAACGACTTTAGGAAACAATGATGCACATATTATTAACTCTCCAAATAAACGTTTAGGCTCAAGTCTCACAAGGTTGTAGCGTTCATTTGAGTTCCTTCCTTCAAGCATGTTACAAAAACTGATTTTTCCTTTATGATTGCATGTGAATTCATAAATTATAACCACAACCAAGCATACACCAAAGAGTAAATCAAATTTTCATCCATGTTTATAACTCTCTTTAACAGTCATGTAATTAAAAACCAAATCCTCATCATTGTGTTGGAAGGTACCCTAAGACACAAATAAACACACAAAAACAACTCTTTTTGGGTTTTTCAAAACAATTTTTCAAATTTTTATGAGATTTTTGGATTTTTATGTCAAAACACACTAAAACACTCCAAAACAGCTTAAAAAACACTTAAAAAAAAAACAGCAAGGAACAACACTAGAAGTAATGGGTGATAAACTCCTACGAATTTCATGCAAAACAATTGGTTACCCCCCCCCCCACACTTAAATCAAACATTGTCCTCAATGTTTCAAGCATAAACTCACACAAAAACAAGCAAACAAACAAACAACGAATAAACATGACAAGTATAGGCAAAGTAAAAACCAGACAGAGTAGAGTTTAAGAACGCAAATCTGGTTTTGGAGATAGATGATCTTGTTGACTTTCCACAGCTTTGATCTCGAACTGGTTTGGAATTCTGAGCGAGGAATATTAGAGTTCCTTGGTTGTGCAGTCTGCATTCTTCTCTGCTTGTTTCTTCTGCACGGCAGGCAGGCACGAGGTAGAGGTGATGGTCTGTTTCTTTCTTCAATCTTTCCAAGTGCCCACCTCTTGCTTTCTTTCTCCTTGTCCCTAGCTGAGGATGAATTGGCAAATTGTCTCCACATGCTTCGAGGTATCATTTTCACTTCCCTTATCTGTTCCCCAGGCAGATGTGGTAGACGAAGAGGAAGCATAAAATGATGAAGATGAGTACTCGAGAGCAAGGCTAGGTAAGCAATCAGGAAGGGGTTCCAGGCAGTCGGTTCCAGATCGGAAGATTGATACCAAGTGCTGGCTGATTGCTCTCTTTCTCCTTGTCCTAAAACAAC